CGGCCTGCTGGGGGGGCAGGAGGGGGCAGAGTGGGGCTCTCTGTGGCCAGAGCGATGCTTCTGCTCCGCCAGGGAAGACCTACGCGGGCCGTGACTGTGACCGCCTCCGCTAATTTCAACTCCACCTTGAAACCAGGTGGTCTGCAAATGTGGCCCGCCCAGCCGGGACGGTGTGCAGCATCCAGCAAGCAGGAATCTCCCCTTTGGGTGGGAGGTTTGTGGACGGCAGAGGAGGTGTCCCCTCCCCAGACACAGCCCCAGGCGATTCAGGGAGCATCCCCGAGACGTGGACTAGCGAGAGGCCGCGAAGGGGAGGACCAGGCAGGCTTCGAGAACGCAAGAAGGGCAGGGACAGAAGCCGCCTGGAAACTCCGGGGGCCACGGCTCCTCAGAGGACTCCCTGTAATTGGCTTGAATTACGTACCGTGTTTTTATCTTCTGTTCACCACCCAGAGGTCCACTGGTTAGATGGGCGGCCATCTAATTTGTTTCATCGGTCAAATAAACACACACTCCGCCATTGGCAAAAACGACGGTACTGAACAGGCAACTGGATGTTGCTGGTCTGCAATCTAGGGATTCTCCTGGACTGTCAGGTGGAAGCCTTTGCTAGCCACCAGGGTGCCTTGCGCCTCTGCTGCTTCCCAAACGGATTACAGTAATCCACCCTCCCTGGACCGCCCCTGAAAATCACCCAGAAATTTCAGCTGGTGCAGGACACAGCTGCCTCAGTACGAACAGGAACATCCCAATGTGGCCATACAACTTTGGGAGCTGCCACGGCCCCCTGGTTTGTTTCCAGACACATCTCAAGCTGCCTGGAATAATTTTTCAAGCCCTACATGGCTTGGGGTCTTGGTATCTGCCAGACGCTTATGCCGAGCGTTTCTCTCGGCTAAGGCATGTTGTTCCCCCATCAGGTTCAATTTTACGAGGTTTACTTTTCCTGGTATTAGGTGTGGTATCGGCTCTAGCTGTATGCTGCTCAGAGTCCCTGCTGAGCGGGGCAGCCTTGATCAATCTAACCCGCCTGTCCAGCGCAATGCTAAGAGTCCCTCCTGCCCACGCCCCATGGCACAGAAGCACTTGCAATAAACGGCTAACTTTAAATGAATAAATAAATAAAATGCCTCTGCTAGTGGTTACGTGAAGAAAGTGCACATTTTGGAGCAGGACTGTAGGCTGGTGGGCGAGATTCCCATCTGAAATGTCGCAGAGCCACGCTGCCAGGCCAGCGGCACCTTCTGAGCTCGGCCGCCGATGGCTGACTCGGCAGGCAGCTTCTTCTGCCCCGGGGACCGCTCTGAAAGGCCAGTCAGGTCACAGCCACGCTGGCTGGGCGGAGGGGGGAAGCGCACGTCTTGCGTGGCAACTTCTATTGCTTCCTTTCTCACCCCACAAAGAGAATCAGAAGTAAATTCTCCACCGACTGATTTTGCAAACAGGCTGTGCGATGCTTGGTGGGCGCTTTCAAGGGGGAGAGGGGATGGCCGAGGCCGGGCAGCGCTTCACGCAGCTCCTTTTCCTTTCCACAATGAGCAAATGCGGGACGGAATGATGGAAACAAGGACAAAAGGCATCAGCGCGCCTGGAGTGGCCAGACCCGGCTCTGCTTCTTACAGAGGGGCGCTTGGTGCTGCTACAACCACAGCTCAGACCCACAGCAGACCCAGGCCCAAAGGGCTCCCTTCTTCCAGTGCCCCCACATCTTCTTTACGTTTTGTGCTGAGGTGCACCAAGCCATGGAGAGGGTTCCTTCCAGCATCAAGTCCATGGCTGCAAAGACCGTGAGAAGGGAACCCCAGCACCCTCAGGCCAACCCCACCTGTGACCCCACTCGCTAAGCCCCAGCAGACCAAGGATGACCCAGCCGAGAGCCAGCCGCCCCCAAGAAGCTCAGCAGCCTCCAGCTGGCGGGGTCTTCGGCAGCTCTGCAGGAGACCCTTTTCAGTGGACGGAGCGGCCCGGGGAGCGCTGCCTGGTGCAGAAAAGGGCGACGCGGAGGACTCAGCCGCTTCTCCTGGCCCTTGCCTGAGTCAGACTCCCCCTCTGGCCGTGTCACCTCACAGTGGGGTGGGCGAGGAGCTTTGAAAATGCAATCAACACATAACAAATGTTTCTAAACAACTCAAGTGTCGCTCTCCAAACGGGAAATAACAATCAGATTCTTGACCTCTCTATATTTTATTTCACTTGCAGCGAATCAATGACTCTGTGTGTGTGCGCGTGTGCACACACATTTGAGTGAGAGTGCACAAGTGAGTGCCTAGCTGTGCACCTGGCACAAAACACCCACCCTCTCCCCTGCGGAACGATTTCTTCCCCGCACCCCTCCTATTCTCTACCATCTTGAGCAGATAAATTGAATGACTAAAGGTTTTGTGTGCCTTAATTTCTGCTCACTTGTAATGTCAATAATTACCCAGCCAAACCATTCATTTGTCTAGATCTTGCCAAGTGCAGAGGGAGCCACCCACGAGCAATTTTTCATTGAAAGGTGACAAAGAAACGGCAGAATCTCACTTGGTCCCGCTGTTTGGAAGGCCGTCCATGCAGGAGCAAGTCCTTGGCTTGGAGGGGGACGGAGGGCCGGGCTGGTTCTCGGAAAGCCCAGAGGCCCAGCCCGTCAGTCTCCCCACTGACCTCTGGCCAGTCCTCCTGAGCCTGCAAGATGCACACTAGCCTGGCCACGCTGGCACCGGAGGCCAATGCCACGCTGGCCGTGGTCCCAGCCTCCTTCTGTACCGCTGCAGAAGGACGTCTAGGCACCCCAGCATTACATCACAGCAGGTTGCCTTTTCCTTCGAGGGAGACAACCGATTTGTGGCAGACACGCTTTGTGCCACAGTCCACGCAACGGCTTAGTCGAGTCGGTTCAAGATAGTGCAGCTGAACTGGTACCACATGCAAAGCATGATTAGTGTCAGCCCCGGGCTGTTTGCCCCTTTTCTGTGGCTTGGCATATTGCACCAACCCAGCCCATTTGGCCAGCTTAATGGTGAGGGAGTGAGGCTGAAATCCCGCCCGAATTCTCCCTTTGAGCCCCGGCACTGATCAAATCCGCCGGAACTGGGCGAGGCTCGCTGGCGGGTCTCCCGCAGTGGCCGGGCAGGTGCCCCTGGGCGTGCTGCCCGGGAGCACGGGAGCGGGACACCCTTCCTGGGGCAGGGACGGGGCACCGTACCTCGATGATATCTGCGTTGGTCCGGCTCTCGTGGGGCTCGTTGTATTCCGTGTACTTCAGCAGCACCTTGTCCATGTCTGTGCTGGCGTACTGGAAGAGCTTATTGGAGTGGTTGAAGATGATCAGGGCGATCTCACAGTCGCAGAGCACGCTCAGCTCGTAGGCTTTCTTCATCAGCCCGAACTTCCGCTTCGTGAACGTCACCTGCAGCAGACAAGGCGAGAGAGCCGCCGGATCAAAGCAGGGAAAGCAGCCGGCCCTGAAGCCAGGAGGACTGTCCGGACTCCCCTCCGGATTCGGGAGCCCCCTGGAAGTGGGGCTCGCGTTCTCCGCCTCTGCCCCGACACCCCCCTTTCTGGGTTGGGCCTGCCAGGAGAGCTGCCTGGGGGAGGACAGGGTGCTGCAGCATTTCCCAAACTCAATCCTGAGGATGCACTGGGGGTGCGCCAAAAAACCCCTCCGCAGGACTTCTATTCTGTGCGATTTATATTAATTCAACTAACGCATCCTAATGTTAACGGTCAGATAAGCTCTCTTGCTGCACAGCACAGCGCACTGCACAGAAGGGTCCTGGCGGGATCTCATCTCGGCATCGCGCCGAGCAACTTTTCTTTTGCACAGTGTCTCTTTCCTAGCCTTTCCCCGGAAGGCAAGCAAGCGGGAGGGCCCGAAACTCTGAGGACCAGGAAGCAGGCGCTTCCACAGACCATCGGCTCCTCCCGCCCTCCTCCCCAGGCCGGTGCCCCCCAGACAGGCTCGATTCAGCCCCGGGAAGCCCTTGGCGGGGGGGGCTTTGCTGGCGATTTTGGGGGGCCCCCCGCGGAAGCGGAGGGGGGGGCCTGGGGGG